TTGCTGGAACCGCTTCGAAACGCACTCTTATTAGTCATAATGAACATCATAGTATCATATGCCCCAAAGCCCTTTAACAAAAATGCATTTGAACAGGACTTGCGTTTTTTTTTGTGGCACCTCACGTCGTGAGTTCAGTTCTTTCTCAAACATGAGGTCGGGTTGCAGGTCCTGAAAACACGACATCCCGAAACCACACTGCGGCCGTTCTGCAGCCCCAAACCCTACACCCTGAAATTCATCCGGGAGTTTCCAGATTCACCATGAAGCTCGGGCACACCACTCGCAAGGCTGTGCGGCCTTCGGGTACGGCGCAGAGGCGGGGACACCGCAGACTAGCTGTTTAGTTTGGCTATAACAGGAGTCTGGAAGCAAGCTAAGGCGCGAGGTGAGTGTCATGTTGCAGCTCAATCCAAGGCGGCATGATCGCCGGGAGTAGTTATTATTGTTAGCAAAGGAGGAGAAGATGTAGTTCCCTCTGTGTACACACTCCTCTATACATCGTGCCCGAAAACCTGACCGGATTAGTTCAGCTTTTATGTCTGCTTGCTATGCGATCTAGAGCATCAGGTTCACTTCTTCGGCAGAAAGTGAACGATTGTTTTGTGATTGTGGGCTTCTTGGCTCCTTGCTGCAGCCACTGCGGAAGAACCAACCAACTATCCACCGGCCTGATGCTGAAAAACGTTGATTCATTGCTGCTGGAGCCCAACCTCTCCGTGGACAACCAATCCCTGCTGTTTCCCATCGGCCGGCATGTGGACCAGCCAGAATCGCTTTACTGAAGCTAGTTCTCCCAAACCCTTCTTCAAGAGCCTCAAAACACCCAGACATACACCCGAGCCCCCAGGCCTACATCCAGAAACCCTACCCACAGTGCTTGTGCCATGCATGCGGCCGATACGCCGGCGGCTGTGCGGCGTGCCTCCTCGCCGTGGCAGTCGCCAGAGGGCATGGTGGCCCCAGCTGCTTGGGAAGAACTGTTGGTTGCGCCATTTACTACTACACCTCCTGCTGCACTACCAGTACTACTGCTAAAACTGCTTCGCGCGGTGGTGGTGGTGGTGGTGGTAGTACTACTCCTCCTCCTGCTGCTGCTATTTCAACTGTTACTACTACTACTACTACTACGACGACGACTACTACCACGAATCCAAAAGTCTGGGAACCTAGAGTGGAGACCGAAGCGGTCCGTGATGTACGGCTCCACGTGGATGCAGGTGGCATCGCAGAGCTGGTTGCGGAGAGGGTGCCAAAGGGGGACCAGTCTTTTGCCGAATGCCTTGCGAATGTACGGGTTAGGGTTCAGGGTTTAGGGGTTTAGGGTTTAGGGGTTTGCCAAGGCCTCAGGTCAACAAGCAGTCTGCCGCCATGGAGCTGCCAAGTTCCATGGGCGAAGCAAAGGAACGCAAGGCAGCTGCACCTCGCCAGGAAGGCTGCTGGACAGCGAGGCAGACAAGAGCCTCTACGTGTCGTTCAAAGGGTGAAGCCGCTCAAGAAGGTCATTGAGGATATCTATGGAGATTACAAGATGACAATACCCCCGTCAGCACAACGCGAAATGATGACCACTGGAAAGGGCGCTGACAGCAAGAACAATGGCCTCAAGGATGGCGGTGGGACACCGAAAGACCAAGAGCTGCGGAAGAACTAGGACAGAGATGACCTCAGTAGTGATGAACCTGATGGTCGTGAAAAGCCAGCCCAGGAGAAACAAAAAATAGACTGAATGCTGGACAGAAGAAAGCTGATCATGGCTGAAACAATGGTGGGCCGGTCTTATGTCTTGTGGGTCTGATGGATGACGCAGGTCATATTGTCATAGATTCGAGCTCTTAGTGTCTTTTCGGAGATTCACCACCTAATTTGAGGCTCGATATTGGGCTGGCCCTCGTGCTGAGGAGGTGGCATGTTCCCTCAGATACGCCTTGGAGATGAGAAGCCTGTCTTGTTTTTATTCTATCTTAGGTTTGTTTTGTCTTGTTGATGGCTGTATCAGAGCCTCGTTGACCATTGGGATCCCGCGGGTTGCCGATGGCGTGCCAGGTGGGTGACAAAAACTACTTACTACGGCCACTACGACGATGACAACGACTACTACTACTACTACTACTACTGTTACGACGACGGCTACTATTATACTGTGACTACTACTACTACTACTACTACTACTACTACTGTTACGACGACGACGACGACGATAGCAACTACTACCACTGCCAGTACTACGGCTAACCACTTCCAGGACGACGACACCGGCCACCACCACGGTGTTTGGTGCGATGGTTTACGGGTGTCTTCCTATAACTGATTATTGCTGTTTGTTGGCTTTTGTCAGCACTCCTGTCAGCAGTATTGCCGGCTGAACTTTGGACACAAGCATTAAAATTACATTTCTCGCGATTGTTTCGTTTTTGTTTTGGGATCGGTGCCTGAACGCTAGCAAACCGAATGCCAGTTGAAAGCACCCTGTAACAGATTCTCGCAGCTTGAGCCTCTTGTAGTGCAACGTAGCGAAGTAGCTGGGGAGGTAGCCTGCAACGTTTCAGAATATTTTTTCACGAAAGTACATGAATATAAGTACATGATCTTACAGCGGCGACAGCCGAGCAAACCACGCGGTGACCACAGGCATAGTCCGAGCTTAGGAGGTTGCGGGACTCTCTTCAAGAATGGGGCTCAGAAAGAACCCGAATTCAGACAAATCTCTAATTCTAAAATAACCGCTTACCTAATGAGCTCTCAGGTAGAATTTCGAGACCCAAATTGACCATCTTTGACACAGCAGAGGTGCGAAAACCGCCGGCGAGAAGAAGCAATCGCGTGCGAGGCTTCCGGAGTGGCCACAATGATTGCATAACATTAGATAAGGAAGTCGGAGGTCCGTGTGTATGGGCCATGATGGGCCTGTAAGCGTTTATACATGCAGCTTGCTCAGCGGCCCATGTGAGGAATGCTCCGTGCAAGCGTACCATGTATAATATGTGAAAGTACATATACCTACCCACTTACCCACCTACCTACCTACCTGCTTGCCTGCCTGCCTACCTGCCTGCCTACCTACTTACGTACTTACCTACTTACCGACTTACCTACTTACCTACCTACCTACCTACCTACCTGCCTGCCTACCTACCTACCTACCTACCTATCTACCAATTCATGTTCATGTTCTCTTTCATGTCCCTTTTCAGATACACACACATACCATGGGGCTGGAAATACCTCCCTCAGGGATACACTTGACGCATTTATGCAGTTTAGTTGTTTCTTTAGTCGCGTAGACCAGGCCTCTCCATCTGGTCTCCCGGTCAATCGTTGCTCCTCTGCCCCATTGATGGTCCGTTTCATCGAAATTTCGCTCGGCGAGGATGCGGCTTTTGTACTGGAGCCTCCGAATGAGAGCGACGAAATCCAAGATCTCCTCCGTCCTAAATTAGCAAAACCCGACGCATCCCTAGGCCCTAAGCTCCTCATTCTAGTTTCACAGGGATGGCGGGTCCTGCCTTGGTCGCCAGCGCTGCGCGGGCGCGCGTGCGAAAGCGACCGAGGGCCAGTCGACAGTGTGGAGAGCAGGAGGCTGGGGTTATGGGTTATAGGGGCTTTGCAGGGTTCAGGGCTTTCGAGTTCTAGGGCAAAAAGGGCTTTTGTGAGTAAGGTTGCGGATTAAGGCCCGGGCCGGGCTTTAGGGTTTCGGTTTTGGTTTGGATCTTTAGTGCCTTGTTGGTTGGGAGTTTTGGGTTTAGGGGCGAGGGGTTGCGAGGGTTGTGCTTTCTAGTTCGGCTTCTTTCTGACTTCTATGCTAGAGTGAGCCCAGAGCAGGTTTCGAGAATGTGAAACAGCGAAAAGTGCAAGCACCACGCGCCCCTAAGTCCTGTGCTTAGAGCTGTAGAGTGGGCTTTCGGTCGATTGGCATCGCTGCGATGGCATTGTCAGCTGAAGTGTTCATTCACTCTCAGCTTGACAAAGAGTCTTGCAGTCGTCACCAGGGCTCAGTGACGTTTTGTAGTTAATCGCACCGCAGCAGTCTACGTCAGTGTTCTCCTCTCTGCAAGGCTTCCTGGCATGCTCGATATGCAGCACCGGTTAAGCAAGCCGCCTGCAGTTTGAAGAGGGCTCAGAGAGGGCTCGCGCATTTCTGAAGTTTGTTCCTTCAAGCAGGAGCCCCAGGTCGGTTGCCGCGAGATGTCTCTCCGGATCTCTGGGTGTTTTGGAGCTGGTAAAGTCGAGTCTTCAGGCATTTTTGTACTTCTATGCTGTCGTCCAAACCACCGAAGCCGGCCACGAAGGCTTGCCCAAGGGCGCTCCACTCAGCGTTTCGCACTGGGCGACGCGCGGGCAAAGGAGAGTACGTGCTGTCTCACATGTCAGCCCGGAGCGACCTGTACAGAGCTTTGTGTGTCTCAAAGTGCCACCAGATTTAATATCGCTGCTGAGTACCCTGCTGTAATGACCTGCTGCAGTTGAAACATGTCGGCCTGGAGTCGGAGGTACTGGTATCACACAGGTTCCACTACTTAACTTGTAGCAAGACTTTGCCACGACTACCTATAGCAGGGGACCAAGTGGAATGGCGAAACTTGCATCTCGAAGCCACGCGCCACGAAAGATGTTCTTACATCGCCATCAAGTAATCAGTGATCTTCCGCAGGAGCATTTGCAGAAGGAGGGCTATGTGGCCCGGACAGACCAGCCCTCTGCTCCGGAATCGACGTCAGCAGTCCGGGTGTTTTCTCGTACCGAGTGCTTCCAAATAAGGTCTTCGCCGTAAGGTATTCCGATTTACCGGATTCTTACAGGATGGTCCGTTGATGTCCCTTGTGTGGGGTGGGGTGCGAGTGCCGAATGCCTGGAAAAATGATTGCAGATGGGAGTTGGTTTACCTTGGGGGTCTCTCCACTCAACATGCACAAGCCCGACTGCACAATCCCAAGAAACTGACCTTCGCTGTCAAGTCAAGAGCATCTTGCGGTGGCCGAAGCCGCATAACCTTGAGCTTCCTAAACCCTGAGCTTCCTAAACCGTATTCGTATATAACCTCCCTAGCAGCATTATAGGTGGTCCTTGCTGACGTGCTCGCCCCCAATGAGGCAGGGGTGGGCGGGGTGTTGTTTTGGGTGCCGTTCTTGCAGGTTGATGGGGTCGAGATGGGCCCACACACTGGGAATGTGGGTGTTCGCTGGTCGGTATTTGCCACAGGTAGGCACACGGGAGAACAGAGACACAAGTACATATGAGCATGATACTGACAATGATATGCACATGTGCACACGGATGCATGTGTAATTTGTTTATTTACTTATTGTTTACTTGCATCTATATTTATCTACCTATCTATCTATCTATCTATCTATAATAAATAAATAAATATATATATACACACACATATATACAAACACATCTCTCTTTCCTCCTCCCTCTCTCTTTCTCCCTCACTTTCTGTCTCCCCCCCCCCTCCCTCTCTCCCTCTCTCTCTCTCTCTCTCTCTCTCTCTCGCTGTCTCTCTCTGTAGCTCAGTTATATCTTCTTGCTACTTGCACACACACACATATATATACATATTTTTATATTTATTTATTTGTGTATTTATTTATGTTTCTCGATTGTGGTCGAGACCCCCTTCCACCCATTTTTCTGCCTTTCACTTTCTCTGTCTATCGATTTCTCTCTCTCGTCCTCTCAAGGTATGTGGAAGTATGTATGAATGTATGTGTGTATGTGTGCAGAAATACGGCTCTTATACGACTGATTACGGGACGGTATGTTCACTCGGTTCTTCTTTCACACAGGAGTGAGTGCAAGCCACTGGTGTGTATGTTAAGAGATGGAGGGATTCCTCAGTCTCCGCAGCTCTGATGCCATGGCTCTGAGCCCGTTTTGCAGGTTGAAGAGGCTACGGATCGGTTCTGGAGCTGCTTGGCTGTTCGGTTGTGCTTCGTCTCTTTGTTACATGGTCGCGGGGTGGGAGGCGGGAATCAGCTTTACCAGGCTTGTTTTGGACGAGGGCTTCATTTCGAAACTGAGTTGTGGCGATTTGGTGAGGAGTCTAAAGAGAGCAAGCAGTGGTGATAGCTGATAACCCCACTCGTTCTTCGCGTGATCATCACCATTATACTCTTCACCATTCGGCCACCAAGAGAGGCATTTCCTCGGCAGCGCTGTTTCGGGCAGAACTGCAGCCCCAGGCTATCTGAGTGCCTCATCAGCTGGGGCGGTGCAGCGAGAGTCTCCACTGACATGGCAAAGCGGCTAGGCTCAAGTTGACCCCATGCACGATGCATCTTCAGGGCGGTTCTGTGCGGAGGAACATTCCGGCCGTACTGTTTTTTGGTGGTATCGTTTGCGACCACGAGCTTCTGCACAAGAGATGCTAGGATCGAGCCGGGCTGCTTCTGCTGAATAGTATACCCTTGTAGTCCGTAGTAATTGCCAACCCTCCAGGCTCGTCTTCGGTTCCGATGTCCGAACTATAGTCCACAGGTTTGGGGGTTTGGGGCTGAACGGTTTGGGGCGTTGAGGGTTCGGGTTGGGGGAAGAATCATTTCATCTTCGGTAGAGGCGAGTTGCCCGTCGTTCAGTTCATGGACAGCCCTCCACCCGCAGACCCGAGCACAGTGAGCCAGTATAACCCCAGGAGCATTCTCATGAATGTCACATAAACTCAAAGGGCCGGAAGAATTTGCAATAAAATTCCTTGACTGTCCCAGTACAGGTAGTATAGGGTTTTACTACAACAATATATTGCCCCACAAGCCTATTCTCGTCTTTACGGCCTTTGGGTGATCGGACATGAACCGAGGCCATCTGTGGCCGGGCCAAGATTACAATGGCCTTATCAACAGTGGAGGAATTGGCCAGTCGGCGCCGACCTTACCACATGCTGTCTTTAAGACGCGGTGGTTGATTCAGAGTCGAAGCAGCTGCCAGTTCTCCTCCATCGTACTCGTGTAGTAGCGGAATGAGTCGGGTATCGTGCCTCGAGCTTCCTTCAGAGGCCTAGACAGCTGACCTCGCCTCAACAACAGTGCTGCCATGATTACCGCTGGCCAGCCGTGTGCAAACACTCAGAAATAGGTCTCTGTGCTGAACAGACCATTCTTGTCAGGTCCTTTTCGAGATGCGAATTCGTAAGCTTATGTTTGTGGAGCGATACTGCCCGTAATGCATGCTCGTCTGTTCTTTTCAGTCTAGAGATGGGGCACTTTATCAGGTCATGGTGGGGTTGTAGATATAGATATATATGGTTATATATATATATATAGATATATATATATGTATATATATATATACATGTATAGAAAGGGAGAGAGTCTGCACATGCATACATATATGCAGAGATACACACCACCATGATCAACTATTTGCTGTTCCATTGTTCTGGAATACATAACCCAAGAGCAAAAACCAATTATGAAAGCATGTCACTAAGGACTTCATGTGGTACGTCCGCAGCAATCCAAAGGTTATTGCTGCCTTTGCCGATGTCTGGGACGTGGACAAGGAGGATTTGATCGTGAGCTGCTCCGCTTGCTGCTGTTGTTGCTGTTGTCGTTCACATGGATTCTGCAGCAGACTATTGCAACTTCTGCCTCTACACTATGATGTTAGAGATCCCAAATTCCCTTGTGCTCATCTCCTGCCAGTCGTAGGCCTGAAAAATCTGAACTCCAAATCCCAAGCTGTCATTATCTTGCCCTTGATCTGTGGCAGCTGAGGCTTTGATGGCTGCTGTGCCTTTCGGCCTCCTTCGATTGATCCCAGGTACTCGCAGGGTCTGAGTTTTCGGAACTCTGTCGGGAAATCTGCTGCCTTAAACCCAAACCCAAAACCTTTTATCTGCACTACCTATGGTCTCCATTTTAACCAGTTTTACATTGAGGGTCCGAAAGGGTAGCCCCAAAAAGGAACTAGAATGGAGACTAAAGGTAAAATGACTGAAGCCACATTCCTGGACTGATGACAGGTGGCGGACACGTGCCGGGTGGTTTCACACAGATCAGAACGGTCGCACCACTGGGAGCGACTTCGTCTGTGCCCAGGACGGAACAAGACAGCCAGCTCAAACTCAAGGCCCCCAAATATGGGAGTTTCCGAAACTAAGGGGTGCCTTATTTTGGTGTCCTTATAATACTTAATATAATAAGGATCCTACTACTTCGGGTGCTATATTAGGGTCCCCTATTTTCGGAAATCCCCATTTGTTCATCTGCCTGCTGTGCTCTTTGCAGGGCCTCGTGGCGCTCACGGACGGTGAGCCTTGCTTGCAGATGCGATGTCAGACACCTTCCCGCTCGTTCTTTCGCGGCTTGATTCTCGGGGCTTATTGGGTTTAGGGTTATGTATGGTTTATCATAGACGATCTCTGAACCCTATGTAAATCCCTCTAATGGGGTTCTGGAGCTTTCGAGGGTTTTCGAGTTTCTGAGGGTTTAAGCCCAAATCGAGCTCTGATATGCGGTGGGCAAACCAAGGACGAAGCCACTGGTGGACTCGCCGTTTTGCCGGGCACCCACAGGCCCACTACTTCTTGCGAACGAGCGGATGGCTTGATGCACATAGAACATCACACTTCAGTCCGGGGTGCAAACCCTAAACCCTAAACCCTGAACCCCAACCCTAAACCCTAAAACCGTAAACCCTAACCCTAAACCCTAAAACCCTAAACCCTAACCCTAAACCCCTAAGCCCTGAACTGCAGGATTCTAGGTTGAGAAGGTATAGGGTATAAGCGGCATGTAAGGTTCAACACTGCTGGAGTCTCAAATCCATCATCAACTTCTCCATTTACAGGCAGAGATGAACCGTAGAATTTAGTTATAAAGTTATGGAGCAGTTCTCTAGAGAATCACAGCATGTTCTCCAGGAGCCACGAGGCAATCTTCCAGAGGCTCCAGCCGGGGGAGAGGGTGGGCTTAAAAGGTTCAGGGTTTAGGCTTCGGGGGACTTGGCCGGGCGAGCTCAGTTCAAGCCTGTGGAAAAGGCTTTGGTGGTTTAGGGTATAAGGCTTTCAATTGTGATTTAGACTATTAGAGTCCGGGAGTTTGCTGAAGACGGATTCTCCTGTGTTGAGGCAGGGAAAGGTAATGTTTCTTCGTTCTCACCTTTGCGCGAGCTTCCTTCGAAAAGTGCAGTCGCTTCGGACGTTGTTGGCAACAGCTCATGTTGGACACCCGCTACTCGCTGCTCGTACAGGACAACCTGTTCATTGGAGATGTTCAGCTGTTACTGTGGGGATACTCGCTATGAGTACGATCGTACCAAGAAGGGACCTGAGGAGACTCATATACTATACGATAATCTACTGCAATCGCCTCTTTTGTAGCTGTGCCCCGATTTCTCCCAGACCTACAAAGCCGTAGCAATTTCCTCAATGTCACCGCCCGAACATCCCGCGCACAGATATCCACTGGAACGCGCCCCTTGCCTCAGCAGTGCAAGATCAGCTTCTTAAGCACTCGCGGTTCGACGATGTGGGTGTTTCTGGAAAGGGGTTCGGTCCCCTTTTCCATCCAATTTCTGAATCTTCCGTGTTTGTTATAAACCTTGCATATACCCACAAGGGACCTCTACGCAGCCAGGTGGAATTTTGTGGTTGCATAAAGCCGGACAAGTACCCGCACGTGTGCCACACCCGACACGTGTGCACAAGAGCTTCTGAACCAACATCATAAGGTTGAGAGGACCAGTCAACCAGATGAATCATAATCTTCCAGAGGCCACTTAGCTAGACCCATTCCCACCCTCGTGAGAAAAAACGGCAAGCGCGAGGAGGGCAGTGGTAATCAAGAGAAACCTTAAACACCCAGAACATCCCTGCTCACCCTTGTTACCCATGCATATTGAAACCCTAGGATTAAGATGGGATCCAAGGAGAATGACTTCTTCATCCTCCCTCGCTCGGACGAGCTGTTGAGTGAGGCTCACCACTTGAAGCCCCACATCGTCAAGGTGAAAGCCGGCGTGCTTTGGCGCCTACGGGTTTGGGGCTGCGGTGTGGTTTGGTTTCGGCTTTGGAGACTGAGGCAGTTTTTCCCCTTGGCGCTTATCCTTGTTTCATAACCGTTGCTTCTTCGAATCTCGCTCATTTCCTCGAGGCTGGCCACTGGATGTCATCATGTTGTAGCCTTTCCTAGGACCAAGCAGTTTGATGTTCTATACGCCTCAAGCCCAGGCAATGCTTGAGGCGACGTCATATTTCATGAAGTACGATAGTCCCTCGGGTTTTCGACGGGCAGACACAGTGAAGGTTGCAGAAGCACCTCGTGGCTTGAGATTCTCACACCGGGGGTCGAATTAAGGACTTGGAATGCCCATCCGGGAAGAGCAAATCGCGCATGCAATTGGGAGTTTCCGAAAATAAGGGGTACCTTATTTGGGGGAACCTTATAATAAGGCTCCTACTACCTTATTTGGGGGACCTTATATAATAAGGCTCCTACTGTTTAGGGTACTATGTTAGGGTCCGGAAGCCCCCAAGTTGCTTAGAGCCCTGAAAGTGCCCAGGACCTGGTCCTGTGGGACAGCCGGCTCATCCACTGCAATGTGCCAGCTTTCCATCGCAGCTTGCCGGAAAAAAAAGCGACTTCTTCTTGAGAGATGGGTTTGAGAATGTTAATGGGAGGAATCGGACTTTATATACACCTCATCATGGCATGGCACCGACCACCCCCTCTCTGCGCGCACCTGTGGCGTGTCGCCTGCGGTTGTGCTTTGGTTCTTGGCCGATCGATTTTTTTGGTCTCCCCCGGCAATCTCAAGACCACTCGTGCAGGTCCCGTCTCCGAAAAGTCGCGAACGTACCCAGGAATCAGGAACATACAGCTCCAATCCCAGTGGCTATTGGCATGTTTACATCTCGGCCTCCGAAAACGGCGACGCCCACCAAGTTTTGCACCCCCCGCGGGCTCGATCATGTAGTCGCTTCCTGTTATCTGTTTACAGGCTTGGAAAGAGTTTTCCGGTTTTCGGAAGCATAGCAAACAAAGAACTTGCCTCACGGTATAGTCCGGTATAGAGTATCTCAAAGGCAGTTTCTGGCAAAGACGGCCTTTGCATGTGTTTCATTGCGCAGGTTCCCATGTAATTGTTTGCTTGCAAGTCATCCCAGGTTGACGAAGTTTGTTGGCTTCTTGCTCGTTGCAGGGGGGCTTATGATATCGCTGCAATCCGGTGGAATTCGTTTGGCATGATTGGCGTGACATTTTTGTTTGTGTGGTTCCTTTGGCTATGTTTTGCTGGTCTGGTTGCTTTGGACATGACTTGATTTCTGTCCAGAGTAATTACAGTTGGTCCTGCAGCTGGCCCCGTCAGCGAAATGGACATCGCATCTCACTCTCATACGTAAATACTTAACTATACACATACATACAACCATACAAATTGTACCATACATACCATGCGCGCTATACATGTTTCGCCATGCATATGTTATATGTATGTGTGTGTGTATGTATGTATGTATGTATGTATGTATGTATGTATGTATGTATGTATGTGTGTATATATATATATGCATCTACATACAAAATGCATGTGTTTCTTATCCGTATCAATGAAGATGTGTATATATATATATACAAACATATGTACATACTCATGTATGTATTGTTTAACTTCTTTTATTTTTCGTTTTTCTGAAGAGTGGACAAGACCTGCGTGCATGAAGAGCGCAGGGTTACACATAGGTTCGATCCCTGAGCCGAAATTCGCGACGCAACATAGTAGTATTTACCGGACAGCTAGTTGTGCACGGCTCTGACGAGCATGTCAGGCGAAATCCTAAAAAACCGAAACCCCTTCACCCTTGAAAGCCCCTCTACCCTTGAAGCTTTAAACCTTGAGAGCCTAAACCTGCGCCCTCCGACTGGGACCAGTAACCCTCTACTAGGCTTGTCCGAGTGTGATGCTGAAACCCTAAAACCCTAAAGCCCTAAAAGCTCGGGATGGAACCTGCCATGCCTGCTTGTGCGAGTGTGTGAGTCGAAAGCCCTAAAACCCTAAAGCCCTAAACCCCAAACCCTACCTGTCAATGCGGGCTCGTCCTAGCAAGGTGGGAGGCAAAAAAAAAATAGACCCTTTACAAACCCTGCTGTAGACTCCAAGAGGTTTCGATGAGATGCCCTTGGACGCTGCCTTGGAGGACCGGGGCCTGCAAGCTGCAAACAAAGCGCTGCTACCCGAGGCTCGGCTCAGCAGTCAGGGCTTAAGCGGTTTGGGGGGGGTTTAGGGTTTGGGGGTTTAGGGGTTTAGGGAGGGTTTAGGCTTTAGGGGTTTAGGGTTTAGGCTTCACAATTAACAACTTGGGGGATGCAGAGCAGAGGGCTTTGGCGTAAGGCGTTCAAAGCGGTTTCCGAAGCTATTCTGGGTTCGGGGCCACGCGCAGTGCCTGCCTGTTGCTGCAATTCCGAGTGCAAATGGCGACCCAATGTGCCAATATCAAGATCTGGAAAAGAAAGTTGCAGAAAGCAGCCACTTCTCAGAATCACGAGACTTGCAACCCTCCAACTGTGCTTTCATTCGTACCTTTTGCGAACCTGCAAAATCACTATGCTTACCCGTCGCCTGTTGCATGAACCTTGATGTATGAAGCTTATATAAGCCCAAACACTGAGAGGATCAAGACCCAATTGAACCCTACATGCTGTCAAACTCAAGAAGACTTCCTCCACTCTGCAAGCCCCGGACCTCGAACTTTTCTGTGGAACCAAGGAACTCACGAGCGTGGCAGATGCGGCGTGGATGTGGGTCCGCCGGCTTCCCACTACTAGTTCTTCGGGTTAGGGCTTGCTTCGTAGATAGAAGATACTAGTCGAGACATGAGGCATTCCGCAGACGTGCGCAGCAGGTGGGTTAGTGGCATCACACAGATTGAGAAGGGACTCCTCAAGTCGATCGAAAGCTGCATGTACCCTGACATACCCTGACTCTGAGCCTCAGAAATCCTGATTTGTCCTACGATGGCTTTGGACTCCCAGGCGTTGCATGAAGCTGCTTTCGACGAGATGCTTGTCTCATGGGGCTTGAGCTCCGCCTCTCTGCGAGACGACGTTTCCAGGCAGTGTGCCGCCCCTTTGACGAGCACTTATTATGGCATAGCGCCTCAGGGTCCACTTGCAAGCAAGCAGCAAGCAGGCAGGCAGGCAGGCAAGCAAGCAAGCAAGAGTGAGCGAGCGATACACACACAGAGAGATAGATAGATAGATAGATAGATAGATAGATATGTATATATATATATACATACACCATGCACATACATATTTATGCATGTATGTGTATGTATATATATATATATATACACACCACCACGCACGCATGCATACGCATGCAAACAGACATACCTGCACACATACATACTTTCGTTCATACATTGCATACATGCACACATGCGTGGGACCGCACTTACACAAGAATAGTTAGTGCAGGCTTAACAATGCAGAGTTTGTGAAAGAGAGCATCATCTGAATGAGTGATTGCATGAAGCTGAACGAATGATGGAACTAAGGCATGGGCGGATGAATGAATGATTGAAACGTGTGCATCTCCGCACACAGACGTTCGCGTTTTTGCTTTTGAAGACGCGCATGAGGCATGCCGAAAGAAGAGACACACACACACACACATGCGCGCACGCACGCGCCGTTGCACACTATCATCTCGTTGTTGTCGGTAATTGATCATGCAAAAGGAGGATAGGAGAGTTGCAACTACGCAGAAGGCTGACTTCCGACAGTCGGTACTGAAGCTGCAAGCCCGCAATATCACATGCAAATGGGCGCAATCAGACTGGGAATGACAATCGGGTGCACCCTGCTTGGTCGTTGAAACTTTGCCCCCTGCCTCCCCCCCCCTGGAGGCTTAATTAATCGAATCGTGACTTCAGGAATGCCGAACGTGAGTATAGATTCGGGTTTAGGATCTTGGACGTCTTCACTCCGAAAACATGCAGTAGGCAAGCGGGGTCCTTAATCCTCCGCCCCACTTCATGCTGCCTCGCGTTGTGGGACCACGGCGATGCAGCTGCAGAGAGTCAGAGAGAGAGAGAGAGAGAGAGAGAGAGCCCACAAGGCCTCACAACAGGGGCACCTCTCGGTGCGGGGGGCCTTAACCGCTCCCTGGATCCCGGAGTGAAGTGAAGTGAAGAGGGAGGAAGCAAGGGCAGGAGGAAAGAATGACAGAGAGAGAGAGGGACCCGAAAGCTGTTCAGAGATCAACACATGCAGAGCATACCTTGTGGACTTCGGGGTGGAGAGGGGTGCAGCGAGGCTTGGACGAAGCAGCTCTCCGAGGAAGCTGCGGAAGCCTAAGCCATAGCATGTTTTTTTCCAGCGTATGCTGGTTATGTCTTGGTTCTTCAACTTTTTTTATGTGTGCTTTGTCAGTTCTTCTCTTTGGACACAGTGGTCAGCTGCTTGGGTTTGCAATTCGTAACTACGTATACTACAGGTTTTGACGCCTAAACGCGTTGAGTTGAGGGTATGCGCTGCTTCAACCCACAAGCCTCTTGAAAGCCTTCCGCCAAAAGGAGCGAGACACTCGGTGACACTCCCGTGTACCTGTAATTACTATGACTGGCGAGTTCGAGATCCGAAACACGCATGGCTGGCTGCCACAATGTCACAAGCCCAAACCCCCAGATGGAAATGATAGCTGGTTAAGCACAAAACCAGACCAGGCTGAGGCATTGAGAGGTTTTGCCACAGTGTGATCATGAAAGTATTGTAAAGTTGTCACCGTTCTTGTGTTGACACTGCTATCCTTCTTAACAGCCCGATACACTTACTGCTAGTTTGATTGTCGTTCTTTAACGTCTTTTGTTACTACCAATCTCGTGGTGCTGTCTTATGTGGCATGTTTTGCTCCAAAGCTTTCTTCGCATCCACATGCAGTGATGGGTGCGCGGTTCAGCTTGCTTTTGTATTTCGGGTACCGGGTTTGCTGGAAATCCATGTGGGGGTTTCTGAGAATAGGGGACCCTAATATAGTACCCTAAATTTTCTAAATAGTAGGATCCTTAGTATAAGGACCCCAGAATAATAAGGTACCCCTAATTTCCGGAAACTCCCATGTTGCCAGGAGCTCTACTCCGACTCCACACCGAGGCTCTCCCGATTGGTGGCGTGCCCGGGGCAGAACATGGGAGTTTCCATAAATTTGGGGGTACCTTATTTTGGGGTCCTTATACTAAGGATCCTACTATTTAGGGTACTATATTAGGGGGAAACACTTGCTGACGGTATAGCCTGCTCAGATATCTGCAACACGACTCTACATGGAAGTATTGCAGAGCCTGCAGCGGCCGACTTGTTCTTCTCTATGGACTCTCGCTTCGTTAAGGTGATGGTGTAGCCTTGCAGTGCGCTTGCATTCCTGGACACTTGCGACAGCCAGTGCTTGAGGTATGTGTGCGCGACACCCCGTGGCTCTACGCCTGAGGACCGGCCGTGCACGGATTGTGTTTAGGCAATCTTCTTACCATTTGTCGGGGAACCCTCTGCTAAGTACTCTAGCCCCTGTAGTTATTGTCCAATACATCCCCCAGAATCCTCTTCCACAATTATTGTCCTCTCATAATAAGTTAAGTGTCCACCTTTATTTCCCAGGCTTCGGCCAGCGCAGAGTCGCCTGTCAGATGAAACCCTTCGCTGTTTGTGAGGGCCTTCTGCGCTTGCGCCAAGCTGCAGTTCTGCAGCCTGCCTGAATAGCGGGTTTTTGGGTGCTTCGGTTCGATTGTAAGGAGCTAGAAGAGGGCACTCAGCGGCCTATGGGTAAAGCCTAAGCCAGCGACCTCGCCTGGTTCTGGTTCTGAGCGCTGAGTTAAGGTATATTCTTTAGTTAAGGGGTATTGGGCTCTCTGGGAAGCCGGTCACATCGCATGACGCATCGGAAGCTGAGGCTGGGTGCGACTACATCGCACTGGCCAGAAGCTTGTCTGGATTGTGTGCGGTTTAGGGCTCTGTTTCAAGCTTAAGGCTCAGGGTTTAGATTTGGTGGTTTACGGGGCCTAAACATTCATGCTGCGGTTAGCGGCAGCGTACTTCAGCGGACCACGCTGCAACCGTGGCTCTATGTATGGATTCCGTTTGATGGTGCCACTTTGCTTGGCGGAGCTTTATGATTTAAAGTTGTGCACTCTGCTTCAGGTTTCAGTTGATGTTATGGCTTTCGGGAGGTTCGGAGTTGTGGAAATTGAGGCGAGCGTTCGGTATCGCCGGAACATGGTCGAGTCTCGAATCGGCACAAGGCCCTGTTCATCATGCTTACATGCATGCGTGAAGAGGAAACACTTGCTGCCAGGATCCAGCAGCATCCAGCATGTCGATCATGTACGAGCTGCCTGTTTTGGCCCGCTCAGAGTTGTAGACAGGCTTGGGAAGCATCAAGCATCAGACCCACCCATGATCCCCGTGCGTGTCAATCTCAAAAACCCTAAACCCTAAAACCCCAAAGCCCTAAACCCTAAACCCTAAACTTCTCTAAACCCTAGCTTTACGAATCCTCCCGGAGTCTGAGTCGAACTCCTAAAAGGACCGATGTGCCATCACGGATGCCCCAGTGAACCGCGCCGGGTTGGTGGAGTTCAGCTCGCTGGACCCTCTGACGTTCAGGCCCGGGCTGCGAATCCAATAAAAGGGGCCTAAACGGGAGTTTCGGTAAATTTGGGGTATACCTTAATTTGGGGACCCTGGTTTTTTTTTATGAAACCCAAATAAGTACTGACGCGCTTCCCTAGCATTCCTCAGCATTTGAGACCGGACCACTGCAGCGAGAACCGAGAACCTATGCTGAGCAAATCACCAGCTACGGTTATCCTTAAACTTGCAACACCGTTATTGCTGAGGTCTCGGGTTTAGAAACTTAGGTTTACGACTTTACAGTCTAGCCCTAAACCCTAAACCCTAAGCGTGCGAGAGTGAGAGTCGAAACCCTTGAAACTTGGAGGGCCTGAGTCGGCAGAGCTTTCGAGGCGGCCTAACCCTCTCCATACGTCAGAGTTCGCATTGCTATGGAAATCCACGGCGGTTAGGACAGGCTACGGCAGGCTTCGGTAAGCTAGAAGAGGCTAAAAACTGCCAGGAACCCTGCGCCGACAGAGTCACCGACATGCCTGCCGTTGGCAGAGATTGAGCAAAGAATGTGTCAAGTGTTTGCAGGACGTGACAATCTAAGTTGGTTATAGATCATCATAATCTCCGGAATGGAATTGCCTGGCTTTTTGACTCGTTTTCCAAGTGCCGGAGAGACAAAGAAGGAGAACGCAATGCTCGCAGAAGATGATGTCTCGGCTCCTTTTGGTGTCGGATCCGTCCACCCTTTACAGCAAAACCAGCTTCTTGTTAGCTTCGGGGACTTCCAGCTAGCACTTGGAGGACGCCGCTTCGTTGTTTGCAGCATGGCACGTGCAAAACTGACACCGCTCAGGCACTGAACCTCCAACTCTCTAGCCGCCGAGGAGCCAGAAGACACTGTAATGAGACTGCGGCACCAGCTGTTGAGAGGTCATCACTGTGACCCTCGTCTCACTCCCGAGATATTGCATGTCCCATCTCTGCTTGTCTTTGGTGACAGGCTGATCGGCTGCGCAGCCAGCAGCCGCGAAGAGGCCTCGCTAACTTCCAGGGGATCTTCCAATGCCACTACAGGGCCTACATTGCTGCAGCCATGAAAAAGACGATTTCCGGCGATCCGAAGTCACTGCCGAGAATTTCCTTAAATTCGAAAAAAGTGACCCCAAACCCTGGATTCCCATCCCTCTTGCGGCTGCAGGCGCTGGCGGAACTGACGGATGTGCTCCGGAGTCTGACGCCTGGGCTGCAATTTGTTATGTCTTATTTAAGCGGCTTTTCGTCCTTAGAAAAGAATCAGGAAAAAAACAGTGCTGAGTTCACGCGGCTGTAGAACGCACCTCCACCGCGCTAAGTGGGGCTTTTGTTTCGTGCTCGAAAGGAAGGTCAACATCAATTCACTGCAAGAGTTGGCTCTCTTCTGCGATTCTGCACCCCAAGCATCATCGATTGCTGTAGACCCAGTGAGGGCAAATGTGCATTCAGGCAAGGGCGTGCGCAGCCGGAACAAGCCGAACGCTTGTCGGCGCTGGCCGACCAGCTGCGCTGAGTTGCGCCTGTCGGCAAAAGGCGGTGCTGTCGTGGGCCGAGGAGCCATGAGCCCCATGGAGTTTCTGACTAAGATTCCAAAACCCTAAACCCTATAAACGTTAAACCCTAGAAGATTCCCAAATAAGCAGGTCCAGCGGTCCTTAACCTAGACGTCTTACATAGCAGATAAGCCTTGCTGAGCTGCTTGTGCCTCCACCACCTGCCTGGTCTCTCTTGATGACCACTTCAACATGGATCAGATGTTTCAGCCCCCCCCAGAACAGGATGAAGACCGTTCTGCTCCGTGACTTTACGGGCAACGAGCCATTAGGGTTTAGGGTTTAGGGTTTTTGCGTTTTAGGGTTTATAAGGTTTAGGATTGGCCTCTTAACCACGTACATCTCCGCAATGCATTGGTCCGGTTCACTGCTCACGAACGCAAGTCTGATTGCGCTCTCGGCAGTTCTGAACCCCTCACCCATTCCTGTCTTGCCATGTCATCCACATTAATGTGCCAGTGCCAAGACTCTGCAACCAACTCTCTACACCGGAAAACCTTCGGGAAGGGCAGTTGTATTTGCAGGTTGGAAGCTTGCGCTCATGTAGTCGTAACCTAGATGCTCGAGGGGCCCAGACCAGTCGGCATTCCAACAAGACAGCTTGTCAGCTTGTCCGAACTGACTTGGACCGAAACCAACCCTAAACCCCTAAGCCCTAAACCCTAAACCGCCCCTAAACCCTAAACCCCTAAACCCTAAGCGCAGACCTTCGTCCGCCATGCCAGCCTGTGCGAGTGTGTGAGTCGAAATCCTGCTGGCTGGATAAGCATGGAGGGTCCACTGTGACCATGAGCACTTTGGCCCCCAAGCTAGACGAGGCCTTGCCCATTTTGTTTTGGCTGCTTGTCGTGGCCAGCGGAAGCCTTTGCGACAGCTCTTCGCGCCCGATTTAATCCAGTGGATGAGTGGTGACACCCCCGAGAAGCTGATGGCCATGGAGATAATTGCCCAATGCCTGCCGGGCCTGGGGGGGATCCAACGCTGCATGTGCACACTCAGTTATGTGGTCCATCCCGCATTTAATGATGCTGTCCGAGGACAAAAAGTCGGCAGAGGTCCCAATACATGCAGGAAAGTGTCCAAGCTCTTACAGTCCTGGTCTCATATTCGCGATGTGCATACACCACGGAAAAAATGCTGTTGATCCTGAAACCGTACGTTGATGAGCCAGGCTACTATGAAGTGAAGGTTACTCAACGATACCAGAGCTCCAGGCGCTGAGGCAAACATTGGAGGAGAAGATGCTCAACCTCGTCCCGGACGGTGTGCGTCTATCTTCGAAATGTGCTACACCCCGCAGACGCTGTGACCACCGGCCGCAGAGGGCCGTCGCAGCTTGCCGTCATGCTCAGTGTCATCGACATCCCGTCAAGACCGCGCCGAATCGACGCCGGCCGGTGCCACCGCGCAGATTCACGAGACCCAGAATTCCGTCACCCCCTCGACGCAAGCCCGCGCAGCTCTGAAACTGAAGGATCCGAACGTCTTCATGGCGGCAGTTGTCTCGCAGTGTCATGTTTCGTGTCGTGTTCACCTGATGGCTCCACGCAGACTGACATATCAGTTGCTTTGGGAAACTGTGCTGGTGTGTGCTGTGTCTGAACGCTGCGCACAGCTGCGAAGTTGCGCAGTTAAGTGAATGACGCATGCTTTGAATTCTGGCCCTTGCCTGTTAGATCTTGCGAGTATCGCCTCCACCCTTTATAGTGCTCCATCAATGTTGCATCAGCGACTGTCCAGCCGGCAGCTCATTTGCTCACAGCATAGACATCAGCTGGTGAGTTGAAACCTGTGCTAAAATGTAGGACTTCGGAGGCTGCATAGATACATCTTCACTTTGCGACCAAGGTGAACAGTGATGTCCTTGTCATTCTCATCGATGACATGGACCATTCGAAATTTGCTTGGCCATGCTGGGGCTTCAGGAAGCAACCTGAACTGAGCGGAAGCCGCAAGGTTTCCGCGATCTGTTTTCAGTTCAGGTCTCGGAGCGATGGCCGTCCCCGGCTGGACGGGTAGCTGCGCCAAGCGGCTCGCCCCGGCTCGTGCTTGGTGCTGCGAGTGAGGGCCACCGAGAGGCTAGCACCCCAAGAGGTGCAGTGGCCCCTCATTGGTTGGGCGTGAATGTTGCCTACGCGTGTGCCTGCTAGGCCGATGTTATTCGCCACTATTGTTGCGCTCGGTGTGCCGCAGCCTGCACGGCCATGCACGAATGTTTCCGTCCGGGCTGCCCGTGATTGAGCGTTTGCTGTGCCGCAGTGTTGGACATCAGGCTCTGAACCATATCCCTTCTCCTTGGCGGCTCTGCCTTCGAGACGGAGATCCTTCAGGCTGTTGGCCACATATAAAAATCTTAAATTAAAACCTGAAACCCTAAAAATCCTAAACCCGAAATCCCTAAGCCCCTAAATTCCCCTAAACTCCTCTGCGTATCGCTTCGATGTTGCAAAAGAAGTTTGAGAGCCTCTATAAACTCCGAGCCAAACTGACCATGCGACTATGCTCTACTACAGGCAAAGTATCGACTCCCAAGCCCCCAGCGCAGAATCAAGGGCTGAATCCGGGTGAGTCCCAATGTCTCCTAAAATGCACATTCAAGCTCCAGTATTCCAAAGATCATCTCATCATCCATGCGGTGTGTGGTGACATTGTCTGCCTGAGCGCCTGGCAGCCGCATCAAGCTGTCATCGGTCACAGGAGCGGCTAGCCATCAACTTTGGAAACACAAGCCCATCGAACAGCTTGTGGAGATGCCACAATTATCCCTCTCGGCATTGGCCTATTCCCAAACACATGACTCATGACACCAACACGATAACTCCGCCATGCTTTGCATGATCAGAAAGGTGAAAGTTTGGCATTGGGGATGTAAATTGGTGGTAGCATAGCCTTCGTTGCAGACCTCCGAGTGGTAAGGTTGATAGGTGCGACGGGACCGGACGACGCAATTTCCTCTATAATGGGTGGCTATCGTATGGTTTGTCCAGTGAGGACATTATCCTACTATGCATGCAACCGGGCTTCCAGGGGCAGCTGTCTCGGCGTGTCGGATTCCAACACTACACCTGAGATGCAGAATCCGAACTTCACCTTACGAACTTCAAGTCTAGTCACATAAGCCAAAAGTAGTCGAACCCGGTCTTTCCACAGGTGCGTAAGTTAGCCCTGTGGTAATCGCAAGACAGCACCCATGGGTTGCGGGTTCCCGAGGCCCGCCGTTCTCCAGCATATCCCACGACTCCAAGCTTAAACAACCAAGCCATCCCGAGCCCATGAATCCGAAGCTCCCTGCACCCACTGGCTGAACATATCTAGTATTTCTTGCCGTTTTTTTCGGATTTCTGAGTACCGCTCCATGTCATGTCACACCTGCCCGCAGGCCGAGGCGTGGGATGTTTTTCAGCCAGAGATCTTGCGATGATGGTATGGGGCCAAGAAGAATTCCTTCGAGCTGCTTAATATTTGCCAGACGGTTGTGGAGCTGCTGCTCAGTATCAGCGGGGATTGTTGGAACATCGACAGTGCCAAGATTCATAAGCCGCGCGCAGCCTCTTCCGTGCAGCGTGTCATTTGTGATGCTCTGGCCAAAGTGCTTCGACTCTGCTCTGGCCAGCAAGATATAGCAAGGTATCCTGGGCGTTCTAAGTTAAGAGTTACTTGCGACTAGTGTTCTGATGTTTATTACAGACTTCGCCTCTCCAGCACTGACGCAAGGGCAAACACCCATGCAACATGATGATGCTTCCAGCCTCGTTTGCAGCCAGTGGCCATGTTGAGCCTGCACTGAAGGCACCGTTGCATCACTGAACAATCTATAGTGTACGAGCACATTCATACATACATGCATGCATGCATGTATACACAAATATATAGATATAGATGTTCTTCTACAACGTACTGTCCAACATATATTTCCACTTACACATATAGTCATAGGTACATGTGCGTGTATATGTATTGTGTATATGTATTGGCATTTGTAGAAGTACAAGAATATGTACATGTACATGTACATGTATATGTATATGTATATGCATGTGCATATGTATATGTGTATAGGTGTATGTGTATTTGTATACATACATATGTAGAAGTCTATATATGGACATGCATGTGTGTGTGTGTGTGCGCGTTTGTCTGTCTGTCTGTCTGTCTGTCTGTCTGGGTAGTTCGGCTGTCCTCCCTAACCCTTGCCTGAGCTTCAAGCGTGAGTGCTCACAGTTGCATGTATGTATATGTATAAAATGTGTATGTATATGTGTATGTGTATGCGTATGTATATGTATACGTGTACGTATGGTATGGACTTATTAGATACAAACGTTTGTCTGTCCGTTCGTTCGAATATGTACATCTACCTAGTTTCTTGTAGTACACATGCCGTATACATGCAGGTTTTTGTTTATCTTTCAAGACGGGAGAAAGGTGAAGACTGAAGCGATGCTTATATGCCTTCTTGGTTTCCTGCAACACTGGAAGTTGATGAGCCTAGAGTGGAAATCTGCTCGACAAGCGGGTCACCGGGAGGGCATACGCAGAAGTTCAGTACTGTTTAGGAGTTTGCATAAGTCGTTTCGTAGAACACTCTCTGTCGCCACCGCCATCTTGTAGGCCAGCTGCGACAGATTCCAGGCTTCAAATGGTTTTGAAGCCAAGCGTCGAAAGCACATTCTTGTAAGCCTAAGCTCTAAACGCTAAACCTTATAAGCCCTAAACAAACCCTAAACCCTATAAGCCCTGAAACCCTAAAAAAAGAACTTCACAAGAAGGTGATGCTCATCTCTGGCAGCATCGTGATGGAGATCCCCAGGAGCTCTTTGGAGCAAGCTTCCATGGGATGGCTTGTTTGAGATATCGTGCGTTTAGATTCGAGATTCAGTCTCGTCCCCACACGGTCAAGACCAGAACAAGGGAGCCAAACTGCGGACCCTTACATCGTAGAATCCTGGTGCGAAACTCCCTTTTTTCGGAAGGCCCCATTCCGAGCCTCGAAGCCTTGAGGCTTTGCCCCATCCGTGATGGACTTGAAGAGACAGCTGGGGCGAGAACTGCGATGGCCACACTTCAAACTAAAGTTCGCGACTTACAGCGGATGGCATCTGCCCTCACCTGACATGCTTAGCAGCAGGCAGTGTAGCTGAGCTGTTTTTTTACATAGGGTGTCTTGGTAAACTGTAAACCATGCTGCGACGCACTACAAGATGGCGTTTCTTACGCAAAACACTAGTCACTAAACTACATGATCGCCCCCTTCACTACTGATGGTGATGATGATGATCATCATCATCATGATGCCGCTGCTGCTAGTCCTCAGTAGTGATGGTCTTGTGGGTAATCATGGTGGTGACGATGCGTTTATGATGCTGGTGATGTCATTCATTAAGGTGGCTGTGCCTGTTCTTGTTTACCATGAGTGCGAATGTGCAGCCTGTTCTGCCTAGGTCCTCCAGCAGTACCCTTTCACCTTTCCTATGTTGGGTCCTCGATGAAGACTGACTAATAGGAGCCAGAGTACCCTGGGTATTAATGGTATACTGGCGAACCTAGCTGACGCAGCTGCTGTTTATGGGATTCGCCTGCTTCTGGTCAGCTGCCCTCTCCATAGAGAAACTTGATTGCAGGTTTGGTCCACCAGGCGACATGCAGGTGATATTCCTAAACATCGGAGTTCTGCACCTCTAAACTCGTAACTCCAAGCTGTCGCACAATGATGCAATGACGGAGCCAAAGCACAAGTCTGGGCTTTGGTGTTGTTCCCCCCTTAATTAAGGAATATACCTCAAATGAAGGCCCCTATATAATTTAAGGTCTATTCCAAAATTAGGGGTAGTGGGCTCTCTTGGTTTGTCTGGAGGCTCATGCTTGGGGAGGAGGAGTTGAATGAAGAGGCTTGGCCCTTTTTTGTTCGTCAGTTGGCTGAGCAGTGGTTCAGCCGGCAGCATTCACATTCTTCGCAGAATACCCCGGTGCTGTTTGCAAGCCTACAGGCCTACAGCTCTAAAACCTCAGCCGAGCAGAGCTTGGCCTCTTTGTGCATTGTTGCGTCTCTAGTCGCAACCGATGATGTCAATGATGCCTGACTCACCTTTTCTTTAAGCGGCACCTGGCTGCGGTTTAGTGTTGAGGACTTGCCACGAACACTATTCCGAAGGCTTTGGGAACGGAGGGCTGTTACTGTATGCTGCTTCATGCCGGTGCCTTAGGCACAGCAGAGTCGTCATCGTTCGAGAGTGGATAGTAGAGGAATCCTGAAGACTACATGTGTTAAGCATGACATGTACATAGCAGTTTATTCCGATAGGCATATGTCCATTTATATTTGCGCTTATGATTTATGTATGTATGCATGCTTGCATGCA